TCTGAAAATTCTAAAACACAGTCCCATAAAAAAAAAAAAAAAAACATTTAGAAGGGCTGAGAAAATCATTTGAAAGGTGTGATAGGAGTTGATTATATATCTTTGTGTTGCGATCATCGTAATTAAATAAACATGTGCCTGCCATCCTTCATTTATGACTCCTTATATTTTAAAGATGCTATTCTTAGATGACTCAAACTAATTAACTGATCGACAACCGCAGGCAGCATGAGCGCGGGTTATCAGTCTCACCCTAATGTGCACTCTTATCCACAGAGATCTGTGAACTGGTATCTCTCTTAATTCAAGCCATGCTAATGGCTCATTAATATGAGAGTCATGGAGCTGTCAAAGACATGGCACAGCACAGAGCTAAAGGACACTAATCCCCATTGATTAGAGTTCTCAGATCAAAGGCTTCCAGCACTGTCACTTCACCTCTATTCTCCCTTACCCACTCGCGCCGCAATTAGGAGCCCTCTCAGCGTTTCATTAAGATGTTAAAAATACCAAGTCGCCTCCCCCTCAAGGGACCTAAACACTGAGACTCATACCGAAATCCTCATTTACCATTGTGAGAAACAAACCGTGGCATCTCCCTGAACATTTCAATCAGGTGGAAAGCCCCACTCATGCCTGCAATTCACAAATGCTGAGTCCTCAGTAACTCTGGACTCTACTGCACATGCAATGTGTGATAATGAACTCATCGTCCACCAGGGATGAAAAAACAGCAAATTATAGGAAATTATGTTTAATTTGGCATGTTCAAAAACACTGCCTCTTATTTATTTCACTTTTGATAAATATCAGTTAAAGCATATTGTCATATTGTGTGTGTCCTGGTGTTCCCTATGTTATAGGCAGGGGCGTAGCCATCATTTCAGAAGTGAGGGGGACAGAAATGTTATATATACAGTGCCGTGAAAAGGTTTTTGCCCCCTTCCTGTTTTTTTTATTTTTTGCATATTTGTCACACTTAAAAGAGTCAGATCATCAAACCAATTTTAATATTACGCAAAGATAATGCAAGTAAATACAAAATGCAGTTTTTAAATGATAATTTCATTTATTAAGGGAAAAAAGCTGTCCAAACCTGCCCGGCCCTACGTGAAAAATTATTTGCCCCCCCCTCTTAAATCATGAAAGAACTGTGATTAACCACATCATTTTAGAAAGCTGAGTTAAATTTCACTAGCCACACGCAGGCCTGATTACTGCCAGACCTGTTGAATCAAGAAATCACTTAAATACAACCTGTCTCCCAAAGTGCAGCATGCTTAAAGAG